TCTCTTTCTCTCTCTCTCTCTCTCTCTCTCTCTCTCTGCCTCTTTCTCTTTTCCAATTGCTCAAGTACTAGGTGTGAAACAGACGATGGCCTTAACGGCTCTCCTTTTTCGCCCTACAATTATTCTACAACGACATAGCCGGGAATATAAAGAGAAATAGTTTTTTTCAAAAACCCTTTATAGGTTTTTGACTCAGTGATAATGTCAGAATACCAAGGTTATATACAGTAAGTTCTTAGTAACTGAACATGTCTTCTCACGTTCCCATGTAAGCCATCTCGATAGCCCGAGAGTAGCACGACTTAAAAATCTGTCTATTAAGACCAGCCGCTCTGCGATAAACAATATTCAAAAAAATCAGAAGAAGATATAGGTACCTGATAATACGCCTGTCCCCCCCCCCCCCAAATCCTCACATCCCAGGAATCAGATTCACGTTATCTAAAGGTAACGTTACAGAACCTAACGCAACACCACATAAGACATCGCGTCCTTGGGAAAGGCACAGTACACAAATTTCCCACTTGGATTAGTTCTTTCGGAGATGGACGTTAAACTCGGAGGTCCCGCCTCTTAAATAACCTAAGAGTGCTGATCCTGGCATTAAACCTATAGATCTACCATTTCACCTTTATTTTTCCTCTCTGAATCAGTCCAGTGACTGATTTCACCTGTCATTTCCAACATACTCGTGTGATACGGCTGTGGAGTCCACGCTGGCGTGGGAAACAGGTAAGGTATGGGCAAACAGAACCCAAGGCATACACAACAAGACACAACTGGATGATATCATACAAGAAAAGAATCAAACCAACAGCAGACTTAGATGGAAGTTCTTTAATTTAGATTTACTCCCATATTGAACAAAGGCTAAATAATTTACATTTTCGCATTCTCCTATTTAATAAAAACACCAACTGTTTTACTCGCTATCGCCTCTATTGTAGAGAATGAGCAGAACAATTCTTTACTTCCTCTACGAACAAATTCATTATCTAAATTAACTTTTTTTTTAAATCAGCTTTGTATTCCCACAATAGCAGGAATTTCTAGGAGCACTTCAGGGGCAGTGGTCAGTTCTATATATTCGGCAGTCACAGTCAAAGTGGGATAACAGTAAAGTTGGATTTCCGATTTCCACCTACTAGATCTAGTGTGCAACATTCTATGTCACCGTTGAGGCCACGTTATGGTCGCAGCATCGTCTCTCTCGTCTAAGAAATGCTCCCTGGAGCAGTAATATCTCACTGCTACCGTGGGAGTGTGGGCTAAACTTTAATTGTATTCAAACATGATTACTTTTCTTTGAGTGCCATATAATTGCTGAGACAAAATAAATAACGTAGAAGTAAAATGTTAAGTTAAGTCTAAAGTTACGCAGTAGATGTCCTAATAGATCTAGTTTTCGCCGATTTTGTGCGTCGTTTCCTCTTGGGCGACAAGTCAGTGAGAGAGCGACTGAGGTTGGAGAAACACGTCTTCCCCGGCATCATGTCCCCTCGACCTCTCGGTCGGCCAGGTTTGGCGGAGGACGGAGGTGTGGGTCTCACCGCGTCTATGCCCAGTTTTTCTATTCCTTTGTAGATGCACTCAGAGAGGTTAAACGCTGAGGTGGGGCGGAGATCGGTTTTAGGTTTGGCAGAGCTTTTACCGCGGCTGTACGTTGAGAAAGCAGAATTGGGCCTACCCAACACGACGTTGTTAGCGTTGATCAGCTTTGCGGTGTGTCGTCTTTGGCATGGGCGACAACTGCGTGGACCGGAAGGGAGCGGTGGGCGGGAGGCGTTCCCGGAGGAGGCGTCGTCTCTAGGTTGACGCATGCGTTGTTCGTACTTTGTCTCGTCGCACGTGTCGGTGCACAGAGGCTGACGACAGTTCTCACAGCAGTTGGGCTTTACGCGCTTGTCAGGACAGTCGCCAACGCAAGCGGCTTGCAAACACGAGCTGCAACAGCGTTTGTTATCTCGAGAGTAAACCATTGCCGACGTAGCAGCGGAAGATGCGTGGGCTCTGTTAGCGCTAGCTGCTCGCGACGCGGGACGCTTTCTGAGGGAACGCATCCTCTTCTCCTCCCACTCCTCCGTCTCGATCACCCTGCGAGAGATGTCAACAAGTCGGTCGAACATTGCACTAAGCTCGGGATCCGCAGGCCCCAGATTGGACTGATGGTAGCGCCAATCAGAATTCTCTCGTGCGTGAAAACGAAAGTTGATCCTTGTGAACGGGGCAGGGATGGGACACTCGAACTCGTAGGCCGGGATGTCTACCTTCTCGGCGTCGAAATCGAAACGTCTCATGTCCCTCTTGTTCTCCGGGGTGTACACATGATCTAATCTTTCCGGTCGTAGATGTAGGTCGGGGATTGTGCGGTTTGAATCCACGGGTGGCTCGTTGCCTTTCTCCAGTTCCGAGATGCTGTCGTTGTCGGAGTCAGAGTCGCTATCAGACTCGCTGTCGACGTCATCATCGTCGTCGTCGTTATTGTTGTCGTCATGGCCATCTTTGTCTTCGCCGTCTTCGTCTACAAGTTTGCCCTCGCCATTCAAATGACTGACATCTTCCACATCGCCGTCTACCTCCTCTTGAAGATCTGCTTTGCTTGCTACATTGGCACGCTGACCCCTCCTCTTTGACTTCCGTGGTCGCCTCGTGGTCTCGATGACGTCACCATAAGAAGAGTTGGGAGTTCGGGGTCGGGGGTCAGTGACGAGGTGACTCAAGATCCGAGGGCTGAAAGGAAAGAGTAAATAAACTTTATTATGTCGTCAGAGGCATTGACTTCAGTAAATAAGCAATTCTTTGTGATCTGAGAGAGAAAAAGAAATGAAATAAAACTGTAATCACAAAACATTCAATTAAACATTTCATGAAAACGCATGGACACTTAAAAGAATTATAAAGGGAAACGTATGAAAATATACAGTTAATTATCTAAAATGTGAAAACTAATCGAAGCATAAGATAGAGGTTTAAAGTCGAAAACCATTGATGTTGGTCTTAGAGCCAAGCTGCTATCCTCGGTGCAACAACATTTTGAACAAACAGCAAAATCTATGTTATAAAACTCGCTCAAAAAAGTCAAGGAACAGCTTGTGTTTTCACCTGTCAAATTTAAACTTCAATATCTCAAAAACCCGTTAAGAACAGTCAACCAAACTTGGCACACGCACTGACGACTAGACACAGTGTGCCTGTACAGCAAATTTGCCCGCACCAGCTTCACAGCGACGGTGCGGGGCATTCTGAAACACAGCCGAAAAGCATGAAAAATGGGCTAAATTTCACTACTTCAGCAACTTTGACATAGAGACTGGTGGCTGAAACTAAGCTTGGCACGTGCTAAACAGATGTCTTAGCTAGCTGTGAATATTGCTCACTTACAATCCTTTACAAGCCAGCGTCTTTCCGCTATGTTTCATTACAACACAACGACGCTCGCTGCCTGACGTCGACAGAAGGCGAGCCCTTACCTGGCTCCAGGATGGCTCCACGTTCCCAGTCGTTTCACATCGACTTGGGGTGTCCCTATCAGTCACACAAAGGCTGCAAGAACGATGGCAAGCTACCGGAAGGGTCCAGGACAGGCCTCGACCAAGGCCGCCTGTTTGACCAACGACTGCATTGACTGGTTCATCGTCAAACAGGCCGTGACGTCACGAACCACCTCTGCAAATGGCATCGGGGACCAACTGCGGGTGACAGCCAAAATCCACGAGAGGTAGGAGATGCTGTGGAACCGTATCTGCAGAGCCAGGTTCGCTTCTCGTGTTCCTGCCAGGCGGCCAAGGCACACGCCGCCCCACAAAGCAGCTGGCCTGGTGTGGTCTGCTTGCCATTCACAGTGGACACGACGTTAGTTGGACCAAGTGGTCTTCTCGGACGAATCCAGATTCAACCTGCTGCACCCAGTCAGGCGAGCCAACGTCTGGAGGCGCCGAGGAGAGCTGTTCCACCCTGAGAGCATCCAGCAGGTGGCGCCCTACGGTGGAGGGTCCATTTTGGTGTTGGGAGGCTTCTCGACTCACCCCAAGACCCCCTGTACCATATACAGGGCAATTTGTCCGCGGCAAGGTACAGGGAGGAAATCCTGCGTCTCCTTTCTGCTCCTCTTCTGCAGCAGGTTGGACCCCAGGCTGAACTGCAGGACGACAACGCCACACCACATCGCACACGCATCGTGGGGGACTTCCTGCAGCTGCGAGCTGTCACCCGCAAGGACTGACCAGCTTGTAGTCCGGATTTGAACCCAAGAGAGAACATTTGGGATCACATTGACCGTTGGAAAAGGGACTACCACCGTCCTGCACAAAACCTTCAACAACTCTTGGGCTACCTCGTCCAGGAGTGGCAGAACCTACCGCAACAAGCTCTCCAAAGGCATTTCCGTCCATGCATCGACGCTGTACCGAGTGATTGGTCAAACGGAGTGGCTACACCCACTATTGACAATGTTCATGAAGAACTATGGCTGTTCAGACTTTTGAAATCCGACAAGTGTGACTTAAACTCATTTTACATGAACTTCTCGTTTTTGTTGAAATCTGAAATTATACACACTTAATCTAGAGAGTCGAAAGCATTTTTTTTTGGAAGAAAAAGAATAAATTCGGTTAAAGTGTTCTTCAGTTATCTTTCTTTGAATTTTTGTTCCTTGACTTTTTTGGGCGAGTTTTTAGTTTTTTCAATAAACGAGTACTGATTCAATCAGACACGCTACTGAAATAAGCTAACTTAAAAAAAAACACACATTTTTTTTTCATTCTTTATTTCATTTTGATTTTCCCATTGTCAAAACATACCTTCAACGCACAGCATGTTCTTTAAAGTTCAAATTTAACAACATTTTTAAAAATTAAAGACTAAATGGGTGGTTGGCGGGTGCTCTGGTGTGGTTTGCTCCTTCTTTTCTATTAAACAACTATCGTTTTTATCTCTCCGTCTTCTTTTATATGTTTGTTACTCTCTTGTAACACCTCTAATCTTCGGCACTTATTACTTATATGACCGTATTGTGTTGCGAAATAAAAATAAATAAAAGACAAAATATCTGTACTCACTCAGCTACTGTTCCCATGTTTTCTTGATAAGAGAGAGAAACTACAAGTGGCCTCACAACTTCGAAAATAGACATGCGGCTATAAGGTTGCTTTAGAACTGAACGACAACCAATGAATATTGTATCACAGCTGCGCCAACACCTTTGAGGATTGGGGTAAAGAAAGAACACTGAAAGCACTTCTAAATTTGATGTCCCGAAAGTTTGGAGGGAAAAGAGTTCCGATCAATACGTTACGCCATTAACGACCAGGTCTGAATACCAAGATAGGCTGAGGTACAACTCAAATCCATACAAACGACACGACAAGAAAAGGCAATACTGGAATAACCATAACATCGTAAAGAAAAGTCACTGCTACCATTTCAAACGATACTTGGAACTGGGTGTAACTGAGATCAATTCGTTCAATCAAATTAATTCATAAATGGCGCTCCAAGAGTGACTTTTGTAACATTTGGGAGATCTGTCAAACATTTTCTTTCAGACATATTTCCATGTATGACAGCTTACAACCCCGCGTCTCGCGAAGTATTAAATGAGAAAGGTTAACCGCTTTTCGAAAGTAGCTGGGGTCTAGACAGGTAAGAGACTTTTAAAGTGCAACGTTACTATTGAAATATCGTGTTGTACAGAAGAACTGAGAGCTGGTATCGTCTTACATGACAAGGCATGGCACCCTTTTGTAAGTCACCTCGGTTGTGATAATCTTACCTTAGAAGGGTTGTAGCAGGATTTTTTTTTGGGGGGGGTTGTTTTTTGTTATTTGTTTTAGAGAATCTCTGAGCACTCGACGTTGTCGGAGATGTACAACGTGAAAGCACTTACCGCTTTGTAAAATACTTTTACTGCTTCTAATAGGGTGTGACACTCACACAGTACTATACTTTACTTGAAAAATAACAACCATCCCACCCCTGACACTTTCTTTTTCCCGATTCACATCTATTGAGAAAGAGTGTGTAACGAAAGTAATTAATTCATAGAACACTTTCGGCCGTGGCAGCATCTTTGATGGCGGATTTTCTGACGTTGACAGCTGTACTCACACATGCTTGAAAGACACAGACAGGAAAAGAAAAACAAGTGAGAGAGCGAGAGTGGCAGGCATAAAATAAACAGAGAGACACGGGGGAGGGAGGAAGAGAAAGAGACAGAAAGAGACAGAAAGAGACAGAAAGAGAGAGAGAGAGAG